ATCATTACTTTAAAGTATGGCGTTAGTTCAGTTCAAAGGCCAGTGCAGTACCCTATGATCTATAATGTCGAAAATTGTCTCATATGCAATCATACCACTTCTCCTTAGTCTTAAACATGTTAAATACATTGTAGTGCCAATTCAGATATTTGTATCATATACATTTATTTATACTGCAGCTAGAACACTTCCTATTGTTTTATCTTCCAAATATAGCAACAAAGGGATATTTTGTGCAATGTCAATTTTATGTCACATCATTTTTTTTTATCAAAATTCGGAGCTCGTTTAGGGATGGAAAATAAGTGTTATTTTTGTTTTAACATTTTCATTCCTAAAATTGTAGCCATTTTAAGCTGCAAACTATAAATCAATTTTGATCAATGTCAGAAAAATATCATCAACTTTATTCAGCAGGAAACTGTTGAAGAGCTAAGTAAACATAACACTTTCTCAGTCTCTATGCCTCATATAAAAAGTTGATTTTTTTCTGACATTGACCTACAATTGTGTTTAATCAAATCATAATGGATATTGCACAATACACTTAACAGATGTCAAGTGGTTCTTGTTTTATGTCATTCTGTACAAGATTGTTACAAACTTCAACCATGTACACTGGTTCTGAAGGTAAATTGTCAATGTTATGTCAGTGCATATGTTTCTGTAAAGTACCATTCTGACAAAACCCTTTACCACATGAATCACATTTGTAAGGATGATCACCGGTATGTGTTCTTACATGTGTTCTATAACTTCTTTTGTTACAAAAGCTTTTCCACAAAATTCACATTCTTAAGGTTGATCGCCAGTGTGACTTCTCATGTGTACATGATCACCAGTGTGATTTCTCATATGTACATACAAAACATCTGTCCTACTATAACCTTAACCACAAAAACTGCATTTAAAGGGTTTTTCACCTGTATGTGTTCTAATGTGAATCTGTAAGACGCATTTGTAACGGAAGCATTTGATGCATAAATCACATTTATAAGGTTTTTCACCAGTGTGGGTTCTCATATGAGCATGAAGATTACTACTACAGCTAAAACCTCTGCCACATTCTTCACATTTATGAGGCTTCTCACCAGTATGAGTTCTCATATGTTGACTGAAAGCACTTTTGTCCTGGACTCTCCTTTTACACACTTCACATTCATATGGTTTATTACCAGTGTGTGTTCTCATGTGTTTCTGTATCGTACTGTTTGTAGTATATTCCTTCTTACACACATCACACGTAAACACTTTTCTACCTATATGTATTTCATGTGATTGTCCAAGACGGTTTTACGAGTAAACCCCTTACCACATATCTCACAATGAACTGGTTTTAACCCTGTATGTGATCTCTCATGAGTTTTTAAATTGCTCCTAGTGCTAAACCCCTTTTTACATATTTCACATATGTAAGGTTTATCACCAGTATGTGTTCTCATATGAACATGCAAACTACTACTATCATTAAACTCTTTATTGCAATTGACACATCTATATGGTTTTTCTCCAGAATGTATTCGCATGTGTGTCTGTAAAGCACAACTTCGGCTAAAATCTTTATTGGAAATACCACTGTGACATTTATATGGTTTCTCACCCGTATGTATTCTAATGTGTTTCTGTAAGTCACTATTCTCAACAAACCCTCGTCCACATAGATCACATTTAAAACTTTTTTCAACGTTATGTGTTTTGATGTGTTTCTGTAGAAGGCAAAAATGAACAAACGCTTTCCCACATATTTTACACTTATACGGTTTTTCACCGTTATGTTTTATGATGTGATTCTCTAGGTCACTGTTTTCATAAAATCCTTTTCCGCATACACCACATTTAAAACTTCTAGTACTGGTATGAATTCTAGTGTGTTTCTGTAAGAATTCGTTTTTGCCAAACCCTTTACCACATACATCACATTTATATGGTTTGTCTATATTTGCTTGGGAGATTCCAGTCTGTGGTAACAAATTTCCAAATTTATTAATCACCAATGTTTCAGCAACTTTACCTAAAATACAAATTAAAAAAAAAAAAAATCTGTAGACACAAAAGAAAGGTATGTGTTTGGGGTTTCCTCACAGGCACTTGTCTCAGAAAAAAAAATTCCGATATACCTTAATATAACACTGTTATATTAAGGTATATAGGAAATTTTTTTTCTGAGACAAGTGCCTGTGGGTTTCCTGATCAACTCCCAACATTTTTATGAGCATTCCTTCAAAAACTGTTCACCAACACTTAAGTTGATGCTACTGCTAAGTAAACTTATTTCATCAAAATACATGACAGAATTAATAAAACAACTTGAATGTGTTATGACAATTTACAAACGGTTGAGTTCTATTAAAGGGTTTAATACAGGAATCAGGCTCAGAGAAAATTAAAAAAATTCCAAGATTACAACAACAACAACAAAAATGTTGTATACAAAATTTAAAAGTTTTCTGACTAACCAACCCTATAATTTTTAGGAAGGAAAAAGCCCTAAGCACACAAATTCTTTAAGGCCTCATTTTTTTAAATCTTTGCTTTAAAATTTAAAGGCGTTATTGCTCAAAATAACCTAAAAGAAAAATATTTCCTTGATTTGACAATAATTGATGAATATAGTAATTAAAAGCAGGGGTATCCAGGTTTTTTAAAGGGGGAATAATATCAGTAAATTTTATGTATACTGCCAAGCGGTGCGATACAACAACTTTCGGACAATTCATGCTAAAAATCATATATTTTCAAATCAAAGGGGGCATACATCCTTCATTTCAAAGTCACAGTAAGACCTTCAATATGGAATAATCTTGATATTTGCTCAGGTTGATTAGCCAAAGAAATACTCACGTGTGTGTTCATCAAGCTGCATCAGAGAGCCACCATTTTGATGATCCTTACCATGTAAATCAATCTTAGAATACTCTTTAGAATTAACTATAAAAAACAAATAGAAAATTTTGAATAAGTAAACAGAGTCTGAATTTGCTGAACGAGAGAATCATCACAACTACAAAAAACTAAGACAAGACTGTTTATGGCAGAGATTTAAATATTGTTATCTGTCTTCATATTGTTACCATACAAGTTAGAATTGATATGAGTAATGTAACCCGAATAATTCAGTCCCTCTCCATAATCGATCGAAGATTTTTCATTGTCTATGCATTAATTCAGGCGTTAATGAAGTAATCGTAGATCATCGGAATATAACGACTGAATTATTTGGGTTATGAGTAATGAAATTCCTAACAATTAATAATGCATTTATGGCTTTGTGTTTACATATTGTGGAAAAGTATTCAATCCACAACTACAGATATGGCAAGATAAATTGTGTTAAAAAAAATGTTCCACAATACACTCAGGCTCATGCGGATTTTGTCATTGCCATGGGCCAACAGTGAAGATTGGCATGGGGTGTAAATCTTTGGTCAACTTCCATCAACATTTCAACATTAGGATCCAGGCCAACTCCTGTCTAGGGGAGTTTTAATGAGTAAAAGTTGTTTGATCAATGCATGAATTGTATTTATACTGTTATGCGTTCCCCAGATGTTTTATTTGTCTCTCCTTATTAGTATTTGTAAACTGCCATATTTCTAATTCTCATGGTGTTTGCTGATTTTACTGCTCAAATGATAGCAACTTTTTAAAGAATTGTCATTGTTTTCTAAATAAATACTTGCGTTTTCCTTTGTTTATCAATTTCCATATTGTTGTTAGTTTATGACCAATTTGTTTTTGAAACGGACATATACTGAAATAATATCCATCCATCAAGATGTAATAAAACTTGTCGCCCAAAATACTGTTCATTGATAGACATGTTGAAGAAATTGACCAAAGTACACAAAATATAAACCTTATTTTCAAGAAGTTTTGTCAATCTGTTGTATAGAGAGTAGGAATTGGACTAATAAATAGCATGTCACGGATTTTATGTGGTTAATACCCAGTTTCAAGCCTTTTAATGACACCATCATTGTATTTTTAAAAGGTAGCGCTAACTTGACGTAATAGACACAAATAAATAGTTATGTAATAATTATAACTGATTTATTGATTGATTTTTTGCGTTTTAACGCCACTTAAACACTATTGGTTATTCGGTGGTGGCCAGTTTTAATTGGTGGTGGCCAGTTTTTATTGGTGGAGGAAGCCAGAGTGTATAAATGATTTACAAATTTCCATAACTCAAAAGCTGTTTAAATTTTTCACAATATGCAGGAAATATTTGCCAATGGATGTTAAGCAAACAATGTTCAATCAATCTGAGCTGTAATATTTTGAGATTTTTAGACACCAGGACACCCCTAGTACATGTTTCTCATTTTTGTTCTAGATTCCCTCCTGTAGATTTACCTGTACCACCAGGTTATTCAAAATACAAATACATAAAGCCACTTGGGTGACATAACGGGATAATGTTGCCACTCACCCATCATGACATGCTCATGGATTACATTTAGGTAATGATGACCAAAATGTTACAAAACATTGTTTTAAAGTGGACATTAACCATGTTAACATAATTTATGGTAAAATATTATTTATATATCATTAATCCTAACATAAAGACCAAACACTATTTCCTTTTTCTATGAAATGATGTACTTAAAGTATTTTTAACTGTCAACTTTTTTGAAGAACTATAGGTTAACGTTCTGTCTTCTTTAACATGCTTAGGTTCTTACTACAAAATTTACCTATGCAAGGTTTAGCACCTGGAAGTGTACTTGTGTCTGTCTGACTGTTACAATTATCCATCTGACTACCATCTTTTTGTGTTTCTGTGTGTGTGTGACTGTGACAATCAGGAATCTGGTTGCCTCCTGGATATATTCCTATACATGTGTGACTTTCACTATCTTCCATCAGATTCCCATCTAAATGTGGTCTCATGTCTGTCTGACTGTGACAATCATCCATCTGATTCCCATCTAAATGTGGTCTCATGTCTGTCTGACTGTGACAATCATCCATCTGATTCCCATCTAAATGTGGTCTTATGTCTGTCTGACTGTGACAATCATCCATCTGACTACCATCTAAATGTGGTCTCATGTCTGTTTGACTGTGACAATCATCCATCTGATTCCCATCTAAATGTGGTCTCATGTCTGTCTGACTGTGACAATCATCCATCTGATTCCCATCTAAATGTGGTATCATGTCTGTCTGACTGTGACAATCATCCATCTGATTCCCATCTAAATGTGGTCTTATGTCTGTCTGACTGTGACAATCATCCATCTGACTACCATCTAAATGTGGTCTCATGTCTGTTTGACTGTGACAATCATCCATCTGATTCCCATCTAAATGTGGTCTCATGTCTGTCTGACTGTTACAATCATCCATCTGATTCCCATCTAGATGTGGTCTCATGTCTGTCTGACTGTGACAATCATCCATCTGATTCCCATCTAAATGTGGTCTCATGTCTGTCTGACTGTGACAATCATCCATCTGATTCCCATCTAAATGTGGTCTCATGTCTGTCTGACTGTGACAATCATCCATCTGACTACCATCTAAATGTGGTCTCATGTCTGTTTGACTGTGACAATCATCCATCTGATTCCCATCTAAATGTGGTCTCATGTCTGTCTGACTGTGACAATCATCCATCTGACTACCATCTAAATGTGGTCTCATGTCTGTTTGACTGTGACAATCATCCATCTGATTCCCATCTAAATGTGGTCTCATGTCTGTCTGACTGTGACAATCATCCATCTGATTCCCATCTAAATGTGGTCTCATGTCTGTCTGACTGTGACAATCATCCATCTGATTCCCATCTAAATGTGGTCTTATGTCTGTCTGACTGTGACAATCATCCATCTGACTACCATCTAAATGTGGTCTCATGTCTGTTTGACTGTGACAATCATCCATCTGATTCCCATCTAAATGTGGTCTTATGTCTGTCTGACTGTGACAATCATCCATCTGATTCCCATCTAAATGTGGTCTCATGTCTGTCTGACTGTGACAATCATCCATCTGATTCCCATCTAAATGTGGTCTTATGTCTGTCTGACTGTGACAATCATCCATCTGATTCCCATCTAAATGTGGTATCATGTCTGTCTGACTGTGACAATCATCCATCTGATTCCCATCTAGATGTGGTCTCATGTCTGTCTGACTGTGACAATCATCCATCTGATTCCCATCTAAATGTGGTCTCATGTCTGTCTGACTGTGACAATCATCCATCTGATTCCCATCTAAATGTGGTCTCATGTCTGTCTGACTGTGACAATCATCCATCTGATTCCCATCTAAATGTGGTCTCATGTCTGTCTGACTGTGACAATCATCCATCTGATTCCCATCTAAATGTGGTCTCATGTCTGTCTGACTGTGACAATCATCCATCTGGTTACCACCTTCATCAAATTTAGGATGTTTTTCATCCACTTCTGATATAGACAAATCTAAATATGAAATCAATAAACTTTTATTGTTTTTCATAGCACAAAAAATGCACACAAATTTCAGTGACTGAGAGTGTGCAGAAGTGTGCAGAAATGCAACACTTAATGGATACATGTACATGTATTAATGCTACAATTCAACCAGATTTAAGGGGCTTAATATAATAAACTATTATTTAGACAGAATAGAATTAAATTTTTTTCAAGCATTATCAAAGTGTAATTTTTCAATATTAGCATGATTTGCAGTCACTTTTGTCAACATAAGCTCAAATACATCGCTTATGTATCATTGGCTTGCAAGTCAATAATTCAACCTCATTTGAATCCGTCTCTGCATATATTCTTGCAACGTTTAATTTGGCCCTTCTCAGGAGATGGAATATGCATGTGCTTAGCTTTATAACTTATTGAAAAGAAAAGAATATCGACATTGAAAAGTGATACAAGGGAGCCACCAGGAAAACCAATTTTTTTGGCTGAATAGGCTTTACAAAAAAATCATTCATATGTCATGTATACAGGTTAAGCAATTATTTACACATTTTTAATCTATGACATGCAATCAAACAGACCTAGAAAATCATCATTTAACCATTGCACTGCTTGTCTATTTATATCTATGTTAATATTTGGTCATATGACCATAGGCAGTCTTCGTAGGTCAACTCAATGGTTTCTTAGATGGCAGTTAGACTAAAATATGCATGAAATGCTGAAGTATAAACAGAGACCATGCACTGTTAAATGTTTCTTTTGGACTTTTTGTAATTTGGATAAATACATTTTAATATGTCATGTATGTTATGAATCAAATTTGAGAATATAAGTAAAATCAATGATCATGAATTTGACTGCTTTTGACCCTCTAAAATGTTTAAGAGAATTTTTCTGGTTTGCTTATTAATTTTTAAGTACAGTTCAACCTTTTATCTCAAACACAAAGCAAAACAAATCTATTGCGCAGCGATGTTAAGTAACTGCACAAGGCCTTCATAAATTGCTCTCTGGAGGCTTAGTTGTATTTTGACGATAAAATGTATGAAATATTCCACACAGAATGTACACGGAATATAGTAGGAATATTGCATTGAATTCCTACCAGAAAAGAGTGATATTCTAGTCAGACAGAAGTAGGAATCCACACGGAAAATAGCCAAAATATTTAAATTAGCAGGACTTTCTTAGTAGGAATATTGTATATTCCTACCAGGAATATTTAAATTAGCAGGAATAATTTGGTAGGAAAATAAAATTCCTACTAGAAAACCTGGCAGGAATTTTTCAAAATTCCACATAGAAAAAAATATTTTCTAGTAGGAATCTAAAAATATACAAAATGTAAGTGTATATTCACAAATACACAACTGGGTCAATCATTTAAGTTTGAATCTCAACAACAAAAAACAAAGGAAATGCATGGAATATATTCATTTTAAAAAAAGTTGACTTTTGAAATGTATGAGGAAGCTGTGATATATCCAAACATATATGTAAATGGGCAAAAATGTTGATTCTAAGATGAAGTTAAAGAGTTATGAACAATTAATATGTAAAATAATGCACTATTGTTGAATTAACTGATTACTAAATATATTGGCAAACATATCAAAAATTTCATCTTAAAAGTATAAAATTTACCTTCAATTTACATGGGCCATATTTTCCCATATTTCAATATTGTAGTTGTTTAACCCTTGCAGCATATGGTGCAACACAACTTTTCATATTTCTACTCTCCAACTTGTGAATTAGTGAACTGGAACTTGTTTGCATTTAACACAGCAAAATTTGTGTCATTAGCAAACAGGAATCCAGTTTAAGATAATTAAAAAGATTCCATGTAGAAAGATTTTCTAGTAGGAATAAAATTAATTCTGGTAGGAATCTTGTAGTAGGAAAATGAATAATCCTATCATATTTTCTGTCCAAATTCCCATTTAAGATTTTCAAAACAGAAAAAAATCCATACAGACTTTTAAAATTCCAGCTAGATGGTAGGATTTTGCAAGTGGAGAAAATAAAAAATCCAGTCAGAATTTTGTTCATTTTCCATGTCCGCCTACTTTCTATATAGAATCTTTGATTCTATGTGGATTCCTACTACATTCCTACTAGTGTCTAGGTGGAATCCTACTACTTATTTCGTACGGGAACAGACAAATGAAATTTTCATTGTCCATGAAATTTACAATGGACTTTTATGAATAGTAAAGACAACTATTAATGACAGACAGTTAAACACTCTGTTAGAGCAAATTGATGTAGTCAAGAGAAATTCAAGAATAGAAAAAAATAAGACCTTTTACTTAAATAAGTTTAAAAAAATCTTACTGTCTACATGGTCTAAGGGATATAACTCTACCTCCAAAATAATTTACCTGCACCAGTAAATTAAAAACACTTGTGTAAGTATTACTCCTGACTGACAACTCAATAGCTCAAGAATGAAAATTTTATGAATAATGAAATTTCTCAAAGTCTAATATTGTTCCTAATCTTATTTCAAAAGAGTAATGAAAAAAATAATATTCTTGTGAAAATTTTGACATATTGATTATTATTGTAAATGGCATATTAAATGTGCATTTACTACTTGATATACAAAAATATAAAACATCGATTTTTTTTTTGGTTCAATCATTAATGAAAGTGATATAGTAAAATACTAATTTGCTTTTAGCAGCAAATTTAGTTCAATTTTGTCAATATAAGATAACTATTATTGCTGATAAATTATTCAATTGCAAGTGAATAATTCGACCTCTTTAAATCCGTATTCATGTGACCTTTAATTTAACCCCTTAGCTGGAGATGGGTTATACAGGTATTCAGCTATCAAAAGGAAAAGAATGTCAACATTGAAAGTGAAACAAGGATGAATTATTTGGTTGACTGATTCTATCCACAAAAAAATTATTCTAACACAGGCAAAAACGATGATAAACATACTTTTTAACCTACAATATGAAATCAAACAGACCTAACACAATTCAATTGCAAGTGGTCGCTATCAGTTTATGTTTTATCGGGTTATATGACCGTTGGCAGTCTTCGTAGGTCATCTCGATGGTTAATTAGATGACATCTAGACAAAAACACACACGCAATGTTGATACATATTATCGAGTCCATGCATTGTTAATTGTTTATTTTAGACTTTTTGTAATTTTTATATATGTTTTAGCTTGTTATAAATCAAATATGAGAATTTGAGTCAAATTGGTGAACATGAATTTGACAGCTAATGCCGCTTTAAAGTGAAATGTATAATTACAGAAACAAATATTTACAATTTTACATATGTGTATTATACATGGTCGCATGTTCGGTTTTATATGAATATCTTTTCTATTTTAGTTAATTTAAATTTAGTTTGTATGATGGGAGGGGGGGTGTTCTTTCATTTCTTTATTCTTAAATTTTTTAGGCCATTTTTCTCTATTCTTTATACTTTTTGCCCATTATTTTCAATTCTTTATATTTTAGCACCTCATTACCATGATTATTCTCTATTGCTTATTTTTTTGGTCCAGTTTTCTCTATTCTTTATATTTTTTTACCATTTTAATATTCTCTATTCTGTAAACCCTCATGCACACCCTCTTGTATATGAATAAATACATAATAGAGGTTAGCAGCATTTCTTCTTTCTAAATATAATAATTGTTATGCTTATTTGAGGAGAGGCATGTTGTCTAGCATCTAAGGAAAAATGAAAAAATAAACAAACAAACTTAGATTTTTGGGTTTTTTTGTCAATGATACATATATATATTTGTATTGTTTATTGTTTATTCATGTTACTCGTCATTGTGTATTTAGAAACAATCCTATTGTATGGATTTAATACTAAGAAATATCTTTATCTTTATGATTTATCTTTACTGTGACAACATATCCATTGTAATAAAATTAAAAGTTTATAACATACAGGGTGGATCAAAACCTCTTTGACAAGGGGGGGGGGGGGAGATCTGTGTTTTGAATATGTATACATGTATTCAAATTTTTTCTGAATGCCTTAATTTTTGCTTAAGTATTTAGTCTAATTAAATAATTGAGTTTTATAAGGGTCAGGTCAACACCTCTCATGGTGGATATCCCGCATAATCATTGATAAAGGGGGAAGGTTTGCAGTTCTGCATTTTTCTCCATTATAACAATCATATATATTTTAGCGTAACTTTTTGATGTACCAACTTGATTTTATATTGTAGCACTCGTTTATGACTAGATATTCCTTATTATCGGCAATTTGCACATTTTTACTTTGATCTGACTGACTAATTTCTATTAAGATTATGGACAGAACTTGATACTCAAAATACTAGGCAATGATCATGTCACATATCCATTGAAATTATCAGTGCAGCAGCGTCGCGTGTTCAAACCATCAGTGTCAATTTATCAATGAAATGCACGTGACTTTATTCATACAACCGAACAGCTATCACATTTTGTACCCGTAAAAGTTGTTTTACTAACTAATTTATTTTTTTATTATTCTAAACATGCTAAACAAACAAAAAACTTTTGTAAAGAATTGCTGATAAAAAGAATAATGGCATAAATTTTATTTTTTGATACTAACTTCATCAGCTTGAATATATAAAAGTTAGTATCAAAAACAAAAATGTCATTATTCTATATATATTGGCAATTGAAACAAAAAATATACCTACATGTTAGTTATATAATTTACATGTAGTAACCTATAAGTCTTACAAAAAATACAACAACGTTTTATAAATGATATATCTTTTATGGTATCAATCATCTTTTGTAGGGGAGGCATGTCTTTAAATTAACATTGTTGGGGGAATACTTTTTAAATAGCGTTGAAATTAATGTTTCCCCTTAATAAGCTTAGGACACCATGCCAACCCAACACACAGACTTTGTAAAACATTGTAAAATAAAAGATATACCAAAGCACATAATTAACAGCCCCTGGTGATGATTCATAGCCTGACCAGTTAATCATCAATTGAAAAAAAGATGAGTTTATAACTATTGTTGAAAGTTTTACCCTGT